CGTTCGCAAGATACCATGCAGGGGTGTGCTAGCAAAAACAGAAGGCACCGATTCCGTTTGCAAGTGCAGTGTGGCAGCAGCGATCATACATGCATGAGCATTGCCGAGCAATCAGAAGCATCACCCGCTTGTATTCACAGTTTTATATTCTCTCTGTGCCCAGGTTCCGGCCAAGGCCGTGGTGCGGACGGCCCGCAATGTTCTTTCGGACATAGGCCCTCAGGCTGCTGCATCGTCCAAAGGATTGAAGCGTTTGGCAGAGTGCAGTCTTTCGAATGCCGAGCGTGATGCCCAAACACTGTTATCGAAAAAGATGAAACTCTCCCTGCCCATTCCGTTGGAAACCTTGGGTCAGGGCAAGCTGAACTTTCCAGTGTTGCGTCTTCGCAGCTGGGCACAGTTCCTCCTGGACAGAAATCTTTGGCACATTTTGTGTGGACTTCTATCTCCGGACACAGACAGAGAAAAGGCCATTCTTCGTGGCTTCTGGGCTGAGTTCCAGCGCCACTCCCCGCAGCACCCAGTGTTTGAGCTAGGTTTGCCTTTGGAGGACACCGTTCCGATGGTATTTCATGGTGATGAAGGCCGGGGACGGAGAAGACAAGGATGGCTAGCCACCAACTACCACTCCATTATTGGGCGTGGCATCCAAGCAGCTCTGGATAAAGATGCTCGGGAGAAGAAGCGTGGTCGATATGTCAAATTGAGATGCAACTATATTGGCCATTCACTGACGAATCGTTTTGGCCACGCCGGCTTACCCAAGGCAGTATACTCTGACCCAGAAATCTTCAAGGCTGTTCTCGAAGACGCTGCTTCAGAAGCATTGTTCATGACCGAGCACGGCGTTTTCAATCCACGTATGGGAACACGCTACATGATCATCCTGAATGTTGTTGGCGATTGGAGCTGGCTTCACAAAGCTGGAGGCCTTTCCAGGACTTACCACAACATGGAAAAAGCTGGTGCAAAGGCGAAAGCAAAACCGAAGGCAGCAGCGAAGGCGAAGAAAAGCAAACCACCCAAAGAACCCGTGGGCATCTGTCACTTGTGCCGTGCAGGCCAGAAGGATGTTCCGTTTGAGGATATCTATAGCCGGCAGCCGCTTTGGTTGAGGACAATGTTTCAGCAGCAGCCCTGGATTGCCCCCCCAAGCTTTGCGCGATTGCACCACCCTGTGGGCGAGGAGGCCTCGATCTTCGCGTTCGATATTTTTCACGCCTTTCATTTGGGCGTGGGTAAGACTCACGTTTCTTCATGCCTCGCAATGTTGTCTGATGTAACAGCCGGTTCGAATATTGACCTTCGCTTCGAGGCCCTGAACGCTGAATGGAAATCGTTCAAAACAGGTTTGTTTCAGCCGAAACTGACACCGGAGTTCATAGGCTGGGAGTCTCGTTCTGATTTCCCTTCTGGAAGCTGGCACAAGGGGCAGCTGACAACAGACTTGATGCGCTTTCTGGAACACAAGTTCGAACAAACAGATCTTTCAGGTGACATCATGCTGCAGAAGGCCGCCGAAGGCACATGTGCCATTAATCAATGCCTTAGACTCCTCTACGAAAACGACTCGGTGTTTTTACAACCAGATCTGGCAAGAAGCATCGCTGAGCATGGGCTGCAATTCTTGCGGAGGTATTCGTTTCTTGCAAAACGTGCGCACGATACAGAAAAATCCTTGTGGGGGTTGATCCCCAAGATCCATGCAGTGCATCATGTCTTAGTCAAACTGTTGCAGGACGCTGAGGACGGGAGACCGAGTTTGCATCCTCTATGTTTTGGCGTCCAGCAGGACGAGGATTATGTCGGGCGTCCGTCCCGCTTATCACGACGAGTGTCGTCTCGATTGGTGTCTACCCGGGTTCTTCAACGATATCTTCAGGATGCCTACGCCAAGTATGTTTCCAGCAATCTGATCGTTCCCAGCTGAGTGCGCGGCAAAACATCGCCAGAAGCAGCCGCCACATCTTTGGGATCGAGGGTTTTATCAGGATTACTTCCAAGATTGGGTTTACCTCACAAGCTAGTTCCCAGGAAATCCTGAGATCCCAGAATCCCCAACCCCTACACGAAATAGCAGTGTATGTCCAAAACAGCTTATGTGAGGCTCCACACCCGTTGAACAGCGAGCACTACAAACCTTCACAACCCAAATCTCCCTTGCTACAAACCAACATGCCCTAAAGTCCCAAAGCCCGACTCTCAAAGAACAACCTGATCCGAAGTTATCATTGGATTGAACTACAGTCGCATGAAACTCGGTTCTCCATTCAACAACCCGGTTATTTTTCAGAGCCGACAATTTCTGCGGGTTCAGTTGCTGTTGGTAAGCCTTAAGCTTTCTGCAAAAACCTCAATGGAATTTACTTAGACTTCGTCAATTCAAGAACACGCCAAGAAGCCACGCGGGTACCCGCACAAGGCCCGCGCGGGTACCCGCACAAGGCCCGCGCGGGTACCCGCACAAGGCCCGCGCGGGTACCCGCAAAAGGCCCGCGCGGGTACCCGCCAAGGCGCGGGTACCCGCACAAGGCCCGCGCGGGTACCCGCACAAGGCCCGCGCGGGTACCCGCAAAGGGCCGGTATGTCTGTGGGTAATACTGAACTACCTAAGTCTTAAGCCTTAAGCCTTAAGCTTTCTGCAAAAACCTCAATGGAATTTACTTAGACTTAGTCAATTCAAGAACACGCCAAGAAGCCACGCGGGTACCCGCACAAGGCCCGCGCGGGTACCCGCACAAGGCCCGCGCGGGTACCCGCACAAGGCCCGCGCGGGTACCCGCACAAGGCCCGCGCGGGTACCCGCAAAAGGCCCGCGCGGGTACCCGCACAGGGCCGGTATGTCTGTGGGTACCTTAAGCCTTAAGCTTTCTGCAAAAACCTCAATGGAATTTACTTAGACTTAGTCAATTCAAGAACACGCCAAGAAGCCACGCGGGTACCCGCACAAGGCCCGCGCGGGTACCCGCACAAGGCCCGCGCGGGTACCCGCACAAGGCCCGCGCGGGTACCCGCAAAGGGCCGGTATGTCTGTGGGTAATACTGAACTACCTAAGTCTTAAGCCTTAAGCCTTAAGCCTTAAGCTTTCTGCAAAAACCTCAATGGAATTTACTTAGACTTAGTCAATTCAAGAACACGCCAAGAAGCCACGCGGGTACCCGCACAAGGCCCGCGCGGGTACCCGCACAAGGCCCGCGCGGGTACCCGCACAAGGCCCGCGCGGGTACCCGCAAAAGGCCCGCGCGGGTACCCGCACAAGGCCCGTGCGGGTACCCGCACAAGGCCCGCGCGGGTACCCGCACAAGGCCCGCGCGGGTACCCGCAAAGGGCCGGTATGTCTGTGGGTAATACTGAACTACCTAAGTCTTAAGCCTTAAGCCTTAAGCCTTAAGCTTTCTGCAAAAACCTCAATGGAATTTACTTAGACTTATAGTCAATTCAAGAACACGCCAAGAAGCCACGCGGGTACCCGCACAAGGCCCGCGCGGGTACCCGCACAAGGCCCGCGCGGGTACCTGCACAAGGCCCGCGCGGGTACCCGCACAAGGCCTGCGCGGGTACCCGCACAGGCCGCGCGGGTACCCGCACAAGGCTCCCGCGGGTACCCGCACAGGGCCCGCACGGGTACCTGCACAGGCCGCGCGGGTACCCGCACAAGGCCTCCGCGGGTACCCGCACAAGGCCCCCGTGGGTACTCGCACAGGGCATGCGGGTAACCGCACAAGGCCCCTGCGGGTACCCCGCACAGGAGCGCTGCCCGGCATGCCTTTCTGAATACCTGCAAGTTCATGGTGCTTCCTAAAAATTCAAGGCCTGAGCCTTATGCAAAGACCGGAGCTATGGAGCTTGCCTCACTACGGAGAAATACACCACCCAGGTCTGCCGCTACCTGCAACCTCCCTGTGTGTATGTGCAAGGTCGTGTTCGTTCACACTGAACCCCTGAGCCTCCTGCCAAGGCCCTTCTGGTGCTTACATCAGTATGCAGTGTGCAGGAATGCAGCAGCCACGCCCGTGGCTGCACGCAACATCTCAAAAACTGCAAGGTGGCTACCTGCACAAAGGCTACGTGCTACCTGCAGCTTATAAACTAAGTCGGCCAAGGAGACGAGTCCTTTGCAACATGCTGTGGAGTTTCTGTCAAACAATTTAGCAGGCACCCGGTGCTTGCACGAACATCTCTAGCTAAGCCTGCTGCCTGCAGCGAACTGCATGTCGGATCCAGCATGCCGTGCACACTGCCCTGTGCCCTATGTCTTGTGCCTCCAGCACACAAACACAAGACCTCAGAACCGTTGCAATCCCCGAATCTGCCGAACTACGACCCGTGAATATAACAATCTGAAGGCTTCCGGATACGTCAACAAAGGAAACTTTCTGATCACGATTTCCTGCCATGCCCATCCATGGGTTACACTAGCTAGCTAGCACAATACCTGGATGACAGAGCTCGTCCTTACAATTCCAATTTTCTCATGGAGTCAGAAAGTACAAGACTTGTAACTGTAAGCAATTACTCTGAGCGGTTGCAAGCACAGAATGTGCCTTCTCAGGCACAAAGATCTGCTCGCGCCAAACCGACAGCAGGCTTCAGACCTGCACCAGAGCAAGCACAGCTTTGCTGATGTCCAGAAGTACTCTTCGTTCGCCTAATCTGCAATGTCAGGAGCAGCTGCATCTGAAGTCTACCTGACCCTGTCTTCATGTATTCTAACTTTGCATGGCATATGGGCTGTCCTCAAGACAATCATAGCTCTCCTTTTCTCTCTGCATGCAGCCAAGACATCCTAGTCATGTCTACAATGCCTCTTAGGGCGCCTCATTTGCAATGTGACTGGCAGCTGCATGTCGTATCTTGCTCACCCTGTTTTCTTCTATTCCTAATTAGCATGGCACATGGGCACTCCTGAATACAATCGTAGTCGTGGCTCTTGCTTTCTGTCTCCTTGCGCCCAAGACATAGTCGGGCCCTTGTGGCCTGCCTACACAGTCGGGCCTGGCTACACAGAGAGGAACCACTCCTGCAGCTTCTCTTCGGCTGGTTTCCTAAGACGAAGTCTCTGCCAGTGGTTTCCTGTCCAGCAGATGGCCACATAATTTGGTGGGCCTTTGAACGGAGCACCACACCAAGCTTGGCATCGGACCCCCTCTCGAACCTGCCTGGCCAACAGACAACCTACCAATGGGCTTGTTGCATGACACAAGATCGTAGCCTCCAGAAAGCCACCCCAGTGCTGCCGTGGATCCTCTGGATTTTCTGCGGCCAGTGTCATCCCATCGATGTAGGATTCCAGGTCGGGCCACCCAGAGTGCTGCAGCCAGTCTGATATGCCAAGGCCCTCAAACTGTGTCCTGCTGCTGGCCAATCGACGAACAGATTGCACCAGTTGCGACCGCCACCTCGGGCCCATGTTCGAACCACTCTGGCCACTGGGCAGCCGCATGCCCGGGATGAGCTTTTCCTTGCACTCCAGCTCTCTGCCCAAAGCAGTGAACAAGCAATCCCCATCACCGGGAACGTCGCTCAGCTCATAGCTTCCTTTCACCAGGATGCCTGCAGGTAAGTTGGCAACACCCCGTGGCAGACGCAGCTCATCCATTCGGCCCTGGTTTTTGCTCTTGCTCTGGCTGCTGCTGCTGTCACTGCTGCTGCTACTGCTGGAGCTGCTCGAGGAGCTGGACCGCTTCTTTTTGCTGCAAGCCTTTTTCCCTGCACTCGTCCCCTTTGCTGCCTTGGTCTTTCTTCCAGGTACTGGCATGGCCTGGTGCTTCACTCGACTCTCGAAATTCGGTCCGGCCAGGGCCCATTCGGACAGATGCTTCAGAGTCTCTGCAGCTTGGCCACTTCCTGGAATGGACATAGTGCGGCGACATGCCAGCGCATATTCGGTCCCTGCCTTGTTGACCTTCTTGTCGGGCCTGTGGCAGTAGCATCGGACCTGAAAACCCCCACAGGGATTTTGCTTGCTTGGCTGTCGGAAGGTAAAGAGGACCTTGACATCATCCGCAAGCTGTATTGTTTTGCCTTTTGCAGCTCTCTGGATGATGTCTTCGACCTCTTCCTGTGGAAGCATTCCATGGACGTCCAAAGCAGCAGATTTGAAAGCCTGGCTGACTCGGGCCTTTGTCTGGAGTGCCTCTGTCTGGACAGCATCATCATCACTCTCGGACCCTGCCTGGTCTGGACCATTCGGACCCTTCGAAGTGCAGACGGAATCGAGAGTAAACGGACCTGTGTCCATGGGTTGCACATCCAGGAAAAATGGCCTGTCGTTGTCAGCCTCCTCCTTTTCGGGCCCAAGTCCGCAACCTTTAATATACAAGAACTCCCCCGTCCAATTGCTGCTAGGCACCAAGGAAGCAGCCAGCTCTGGAAGGCTGAAAAGCCATGTTTGCCGACCACATCCCGGTTTCCACTTCGGGGCCAAGATGAGACCTTGCCTCGTGGTCGGCTGGAGGTACCTCGTGGGTTAGATAGACTGACATTGAACAGAACAAGAGCTCCAGGGTCCCGCATAGCATTGTGGAAGACAGCATATTACGAATTACCACTAGTACATATTACTATATTACTGCTTACTGATTGATGACTGAGTTACTGCTTATGCCGCTTCTCAAACCAGGCTACGTGTCCTCCTCCAGAGACAGGAAGGTGGCTCGCACAGGCCGATCATATGTCAGGTAGCAAACCTGATACCAAAGGCATCGGACCATGGACCCGGCAATCTCGGGCCTCTGCAACCGGACAACTACGTGGTTCTCATCGAGCAGCAATCGCTGCTTGCTTTTGACCTTGGACGGCTCCTTCAAGCCTTGACCAGCAAAGGTCATCAGCATGTTGGCTAATGCCTTTTCCAGGTTGCGGGCTGCAGGGGAGAGCACAAGCCCAGCTTGTCTGATGGCACGGGCTGCTCGAGCATTATCAGACTCTTTCGCTAGTTTGACCCCAGGCATAGGCCGCAAAACCACGTGCCGCCGCTCCCACTCCGCCAGCCGCGACTCCCTTGACCGTCCAAGAACTCCGGTGATGCTCGGAGCACAAGCAACATCTTGAGCAGCTTTGCTCATCCATGTGTGTTGCACAAAGTCAGAAGTGAAGCCTGTGTCAGGGACAGGATCAGAGCAGGCAGGTGGTCGTTGGATGCGCCAGCTGAAGATGTGGTCCTTCAAAGGATCTAGAGGCCAAAGTTCACCCTTGCAGTCCACATGCGACAGAAAGTCCTCTCGGGCCTGCTTGTCCCCTGCTTGGGCCTGATTGTGCTGTCTGTCCATTTCCGAGCTGATTTGCTGCCACCTCATCCACAGTGGATCGGACCGATCTCTTTGGAGCTGTCGGCGTGCTTCCTTGGGATCAAAGCGACTTTGCAGCCGCCTGGCCGCCTTGCGCTTCAGCCTCAAAGGCCAAGCCAAGGGATCTGCCCTGCGAACCTTCGAGCGTTTTCCTCCAGCGACACGACGCCTTTGGGTCATGGCATGGGCCAGGTTCCCATACTTCTGCATCTCAGACTCGGAGAGCTGCCGGTACTTTTGCACATCCTCCCTGTTTGCCAGTCGGCCCCGGACATTGCTGGCCACATAAGCCTGATATGCAGAGATGCTTCTTTGTTTCTTGGCAGTAGTCTTTTTCGGGTTTTGTCCTGGGCCCTTGCGTTTCTTTCCGTTCCCGGAAGAGTCCTCAGTCGGACCCTTGTTGCCTGCCATGGACAGATCGGACCAGAGGTCTGCATGGAGAGCCGGCGTCCCCTGCAACATCCTCATCATGCGCTGGGCACTCTGTTCCTGCAACTTCAGAGCTCTGCCGAGATCGCTCCGGCGCCTCGCCCATTTCTTGCCTGCAGCATGCCCTGCTTCTATCTCATTCGTGCTCTCACGTGTCAGCTTCGCCACAGTGAGCACTTCAGCCTGGCAACCTGCTCCAAGCAGATCCTCTTCCTCGGAAGATGCTGGGCAGTTGAGCAGGCCCCACCTTCCCCATGCCTCTGACCAAAAACTTACACATTCAACAGACACCTCACGGGTGCAAGCATCCTGAATTCCCATATAGTGTTTCTTGACAATGCACAATTGCGAGAATCCCACTTTGCAAGCATGAAATCACATACAGGGGAACGCTAAACCTGGGCCCAGGGGAAAGTTCACAGACATGACCTCACTTTCATTGCCGAAAAGCTCGTGGATATGCTGCAAGCATGAGCCTGCCGAAGGAGTCGAACAAATCCTTGCTGATGCTGGCGTCTTCAGCAATCTCGCCTGCAGCTGCTGCGCTTGCCAGGATCTCAAAGAATGCATATGGGTATACCCTCTGCTCGATGATGCCCAGGGAATAAAGGGAGCCTTGAAGCCGGGTGGTCATCCGGTAGAGCAGCAGTTCCAGGGGCACGCTCTTGCTTTCTGGGAATAACTCGGACAAAACTTTTGGACCCTGGCAGAAGTCCTCACTGCTAGACTGCAACAAACGATGCAAGTCCAAAGCTCGGAAGGCTGTCTGAGCTGGATAAACTGCATGCTCGCGCGTACTCTTGTCGTGCGGTCTAGGCAACTCCCTGCACATCTGCTGGTGCTCATAATCATTGCCACAGCGATCCACTGCGGCTCTTTTCAGTTCATCCGTTCGGGTCAGGGTTAGAACTGCCACATAGAGGTTCTGCAGGGAATCGGACCGATGCAGGTACTCCTGCACGTCACTTTCGAAGGGCATGTGCAACAACAAACCGTGACAGCAAAAGAGCTGGAGCATGTGTGCGCTCGAAGCATGCTGCCCTTGCCAGGATCTTCGTGGAAAGTTGATGGGAGGAGGACTGAACAAGGCCTCCAGTCCATAGGCCTGTCGAAGCTTGAAGCGGAGGCTCTCGGTTCCATTTGGGCAGCAATCGGGCCCAATGCAATAGTGTTGCAGCTCAGACCCAAGTCGGACATCTCCATTCAAAACATAGTCCCAAAGGAACTTTCTTCGGGCCTCGGCCTTGGTCTTGGGAGCATGAGGCCACAAGACACTGGCCATTTGGGCCCGCCAGCGCTTCACTTCAGCAGGTGGCTCTCCTGCATACACTCGGCACTTCTGGAGAGCAAACTTCATAACTCGGTCCCTTGCTAGTCTCGTGAACCCGGCTTTTTGCCGAAATGCCAATGTGGCATTGATCAAAAAGCTTTCTGTCGCTGGATCCACGGAAAGTGCATTCTGCTCAGATGTGCGATATCTGTGTAGGCAACACCGCAACAATGTCGATGGAACTCCAGTGTCGACCTCCAAGGAACGCTCTGCTGCTAAGGCAGATCGGTGCAAATCCGTGTGTCGCAGCACCTCAGATGCCCACAGTCTGTCGGTTCCAGGCAGGAGAGGCTGGAACAATCTATGTCTGTAATATTTGAATGGGTTCATGCTGCCCCTGGTTGAAGCCCGGTTATAATGTCTGATGTTCTAACGGTCTGCTCATAAACAGGCGAGGATCAATCTGCCTTTTGAAGACCTCGAGCATTCGGGCCTCCTCTGCACTCCAAGACATCGTGTCCATGATGGTTTTCCGCACAATGGGGCCCTGCTGATTTTCCATTGCCACCAATGGACTGGTCAGGGTGCCATGCACCAGGTGATACCGCGGAAGGTCCTCTCGGAACCCTGGCTTCAAGTACAGACACATGCCCCATCGCAGTTTGCTGGCCATAATCTTTCCGATCTCGGGAGTATATACAATCTCGCCAGTGTCCTCCTGCAGGTACCCTTGCGAGCAGTATGTGGGAGTCTCGTCGTAGAGTCGTTCCCAAACGAAAAGTCGAGCCTCTATGTTTTCTTCCTTCTGAATCTTTCCGAGCAGCTCCTTGAAGCTTTGTCGCTCTGCAGATTCTGCAAGAGAAGAACGCAAGATTGCATCTTTAGCATCCCAAGCTTTCGAAAGTCCAGCCTTTTTTAACGGTCTTGGTCTCGGGCCTGCCTGTGGAGCTTGTGCTGCAGCATTCACTCGTGCCTGAGGCTCTGAAGCTTGCTCTCTGTCCGGGCATTGGGCTGCCGGATGCCGGACAGTGTCTTGCTCATCTTCGGAGCTGGATGCAGGAAACATGACCAGAAAGCACTGTCCCCGCTCTATCCTGGCTTCTGTCGTTACTGTTTGAAAGAACTAACAGTAACATGCTACCTCCTCTGTCACTGCTTTTCCTGTTAAAGACAAACTTTTGAGGTGGGTTGTGCTGGCTTCGTGTCTCGATTCTACGAAGATCGATCTGGATACTGCAGCGGCCGGTTGGTGAGTGTAACATGTCTTAACTTGACTGGACTAAATCCTGGTTTACAGCAGTGCAGAACAATCACCAGAAGAGCGCCCACAACAGGCCTCCCAGGTTTGTCTTTGCAAAGACGCCTTCGACGAGAGACCTTAGAAAGCATGTGAGCACATATCTTGAAGACTCTCTCTCCAGGCTATCAAGCAGTTCATACAGGGGTCGAAATAGTCTGCTTTCCTTGGTAGGGGTTCCAATTGCTGAACAAACTTTGCCCCCAGAACTGAGAAACTCCGTGCATGCTAATATCCCAAATGGAAACCCAGCCGGGTTTGAACTGCTTACTGCTTCTGTTATATCAATGACTGTGAGAGATGCTGCTTCGATATTAGCTTGTTCCGTGACCCACTGTTGTCCTGAAGCCTCTACACTCTACACTCCTCTACACTAATTCGCTTCTGCCCGGAATCCTCGAATAAGGAAGCGGCTGAAGGCCATATTAGGATGAATGGATTCCAAGGGGTTAAGGATTCCTTTCAAGGGGTTTCCCTTTTTCCTTATCAGGCAGGCCCTGGTGTCTGCGATCTCTTAAAATCCTGCAGGCTAATTTCACAAACCGAATACAATGCCAATGCCGAGTGCAACTTCTGTCTATCAGCAAGGCTCAGAGCCGCAAAGCAACAAAGAACGGAAAAAGCAGAAATGCTATCATTCCTGTGCTGCTATTAGATACCTGAACACCAGGACAACAAGTCGATCGCGACGACTGTCACAGCATGACAAACAGTCGATCCCAACGACTGTCCCGAAATTTGGCTGCAGGCTGAAACGGCAGAGCAAAGCAGCCTGCACACGGACTCGGGTGATTCCAGACACCAGGGGGGTCCTACAGGGGCCCTTGGACCTTCTTCATTGCTTGAACGAATGAAGGTGGGGAAGGAAAGGGGCCTGGGAAGGCAGCCTCCAGGCCTGCACATGACATGCTACTTATTATGCCCACTGGCTGGCGCCTAAGGTGGCAACTCCTGAGAAGGTACAAAAAAACAATCGTCTGTATGCGGTTCTGTTATAAGCTGACTCGCCCCTTAAGTCCTATTCCTAACGGGGCTGGGGCTGGGCTGCTGTAGGGTCAAGGCAGGCTTAACGGAAGCCCCCAAACGTGTCGGCGGACCAGGGCTGCCGACGGCAGCCAGTGAGCCAGGGCAAATCGGCAGCAAACCCCAAAAGATCAGTTTCAGAGTTTAATGACGAGCCAGCAATCTTAAGAGTGTGCCACCGTAAGTCATAAAATCCAGCCCCTACGAATTGGTCTTCCCAATTGACTTACTTAATAAATAAACTCTTATAGGCATTAATAATCCAGCAGGCATGGGCTCAGGTTTACGCTGTCTCTAGGGGGTCCAAAGTTGAAGGCGCCTGCTGCTGCCCGTTCCGCTGAGGCTGTCCATTCAGCTGTGGCGGCGTAGTCCAGAAGGAGACGGACACCGAATCGAATGACGCCGACCTGAGGATTGTCCCCGCCAGCCCGCGGCAGTGGTTCTTCCCAACTAGCCGAAACTGGGAAACCATTGGAACCTCAGTGTGCTGTCGCCGCCATCTTCACGGACTCGGTCCGTGTCTTGGAGTCTTGGCGGTCGAGAAGCAACTTTGTCGCTTTGTGCTTCTCAGGATCATGGTGCTGCTCCTCAGCAGCATCTTGCCCATGAACGCTGAACAATGGCGCTTTCCATCGGAAGGCAACGTGTTCCCAAGTCAAGCAAGCTTTTCAGGGCAACCCTCCCCCTAAGACTAAGGAGGACATTCGAAACACACTCGTGCCAGACAACAAGAAAGGGCTGCTGTAGTGTTTATTTCATGGATTCTTGGCATGCAAGTCCACCCGGTTATTTTACACAGACCTTTCAACACGGACTCCAACAACCCGTCCGAATCCTGCTTAGGGTTTAAAAATTCAGGATGTATATTGGGATTCTGGGATTATTTCTCTTGGCCTAATGCTGGAATAGGTCATTCAACGGCTGTGGACATGACATTGATCAGGGCACTAGTGCGGGACTCAATTATTGCTCTGTGTCCTGTTCTGGGCTAGGCTTCGGAGTTTCTGTCTGATGATACGAGGTCAGGGCTTGTGTGTGTGTGTGCGGGCGCATGCATCCCCTGGCTGCCTGTTCATGTTTAGGGTGTTTAGGGCCCCTTTGACCACGGGCCATGGTCGGGGTTTACTGTTGTGTGTGTGTGCATCTCTGCAGAACACTCCGAACAAGCTGCACCCCCCATGATGAATCGGTCCATGTTCCAACCGACCTAGGAGCAAGAATGCCCTAAAGGAAGCAACACGACTCCAGCGACCTGAAACGAACAACCCTAAAGGCCGAAAGTCTGCCCTAAAAAGGAACCCCTGAACCCCCCAAGCCGAAAGCCTTCGTGAACCCCGAAACCGGCAAGGCCGTTGAACACTCGGAATCCCCAAGCTAAACCCGAAAGCCCAGGGGCTCTTCCCTTCGAACCTAGAAACTCTGAACACCCCGAAGCCCTAGGCCCTAAGGTAAGCCCTAGGCCCTAAGCCCTAAGCCCTAGGCCCTAAGCCCTAAGGCTAAGGCCCTAAAGGCTTGAACCACAACCCCTTTAACATTGTTCCCACAGTTGAACTTGCATAGAATGTCGGGCTCTCCAGTTATTTATGTTGTCTGAGGTTTAGTAGGGGTCCTCATTGCAGTCAGGGTTCCTGTCTTGATTTGCTTATTGGCAGGTTCAGGGTCGGGACATAATGTAAGCAGGAAATGGTTTTTCAAGTTCGAAGTCGCCCCACAAACATTGGTGCAAGGACA